TTTGGACATCTAATTTAATTTTATGAGTTTTAGAAAATATTTACTCCCGTAGTATTTTTCTAGAACTGTCTGGGGTGAGCGCGGTTCACCCGGTGTATGTATATCTCTATTGCTTGTGTGGATGTATGATATGCATGGTGGATGATTGTGGCTATAGTTTATTTGATTATAATACGGCCTGCGTGTCGTGCCTTATCTCTTAAACTCTTGTTGTAAATCTATTTCTCTCTTACCTCAACCGAGGATTCTTTTCTCACGTGGTGGTTAGAAGACGAAAAGATTTAAAGACCGTTTGAAGAAATCTAAAAGAATGGAGATAGCCCGAAGTCCAAGTGCCCGGATGCCAGTGGGAGCTATCGTTTTATTTTTCTTTTAGGGGCCACAATCATTACACGTTTATTTACTGCGTTTTGTGAATGCATGTTGAATGTATGTTGAACGCTAGTAATGGACATGTGCGCGACCATGTCGATAGGTGAGATCAAAATTATAAATCCCTCACGAATATTAAGTCTGTTGCCTTCTGACGCCCGGCACCTATCCGGCTAATGTGCACTGTCATGTACTCAGCCTTAGCAGAGCATAGTACAGTGTATGTTAAGCTGGTTACGGGAACCGCCATAGCGTGGTCGCTGTCGCACGTTGGGTTAGACTTAACTGAGTCTCGGTCAAATGGATGGACGACTCAGAGGAAAGAGGCAGTAAGTTGGGGTCATCAATGACAAGTCGGATGATTTTACTCACTCATCCAGCCAGGAGTTGGATCTTTATGATTTAATTGGAACTCTGTTCCTAACCAAAGTAGTCTGCTTGTAAGACGTGCCTCAGCCAATTACAAGTATGGTGAAAAGGTGTCCTGGTCCGATTGTAGTAATATTGTTCGCCCAACATCAGACCAAGAACTGAGAGCCCGGCTCATCAGTTGGAACTATGTTCCTACCTAAATAGTTGTCTTGTAGAGTAACGCCCAAGCGGAACGCAAGATAATGAAATATGGATCTTGGCCCACTAGAGTTTTCTCCGGAAAGCTCCGAATCAATATCGAGGGTTATTGATTTGTTAAAAATAGTGGGAGATAATTAATTAAAGGCCTAATTAATTATTAAACATGATAGATAACCTAGTTTACAAAATTTTCTGTAGATGGCAAACAACAACAACCCTTTCAACCTGCGTTACATCCTGGAAAACAATAAGTTATCCGGGACCAACTTTCTTGACTAGGAGATGAACCTCCGAATCGTTCTTAACTGTGAGAGGAAACTCTACATCCTCGAAACGGATCCTCCCAAGACCCCTGATGCTAATGCTCGTGCGTCCGAACTCACTTCCTTCAAGAAGTATGAGGACGACGCGCGAGATGTAAAGTGTATCATTATGGCCAGTATGACCGCGGAGCTCCAAAGGCTCCACGCGGACATG